CAACCCTTGGTCTTCTCCTAAGTGGCTTTTCCAAATGAAAACAGCAGAATCTAGAAACAATTCGCTGGCTGCCTCCTGGAGCTAGTTATTATCCTTCTGTTTCTAAGTAGTTGCTCCAAAGTTTGGCTATGGGATTTATTTCCTAAATTGTTTCTTTCGTGTGTATCCACAGCACCTTAGAAGGATTATCTATCTGCTAAAGGATCCCTGGACCCAGGGAGCTCTGTGGTGTGGAAGTGAGATTTACTTATTCGTTGGCAATGAAAAACCACACAATCAGAACCATTAGAAAGAAATTCCAGTTCCGGGGAAAGAGCATTTATTTGTATCTCAGCATCTTGGTCAGTAACTCTCTGTGTGACTGAGAGCCCACTGAACTCTCTAGTCCATGGCTGTATCCTCTGTACGTTAAAGAGATTCGATTAGTGGCCTATGGAGACCTGTATTTCTTTCCATGCTGAATGGCTCTGGTCTCACCTGCTGCCTCAGCTGAGATGAGGCGGCCCCGCCCACTGGCTACCTTCAGAGAAGACTCAGCTTTGGAGAGCTCCTGCTCCGCTGAGCGCCTCCTGGCTCTGGGCCACGCCTCGCAGTCTCCTGGGCCCTGGACGTCCCTCTGAGTGAGGAGCTTTTACAAGGGAAGGAGAAGGTCTTCGATGCTTCAGGATGAGCTCTTTCTGCTATGCGTGCATGTGACTAGAGGAAGGCAGGTGGTGCTACGCAGAGAGGGCTTTCTCAGGCTGTCTGAAGGTGGGTGAGGGGCTCCAGGGTCTCCTGGGAGTGGGGTGGCTCACTTTCCCTTTCTTAGGCTCAGGTTTTTTCTTTTTCTTTTTTTTTTTTTTTTCCTGTGTAAAGAGCACAGTCTGGACTGACCCGTCCTGGGTCCTCTCTGGCTTGCACTTTCTGGGATTCTGGGTGATGTCGGTTGGGGGTCCAGGGTCGTAGAAGGAGGTTGTGGCTGTGACAGAGCTCATAGCAGGAGGACCTCCAGGCTCTGTCACTTACTGTCCTGCGCTGGCAGATGTTGCTCCTGGAGCTGTACATTAGAGGACGACCTTTTATCCAGACCATCAAGTACCCGCCTAGGATGTCGCTTGTCCCGGTGTCGCTCTGGAGCTCAGGATCCCGGGGCGAAGGTTTTATTTGGAAAAATGTTGGCAAGAAGAGGAGGTAATTGGTCACCAGCCTTCTTTCTTTCAGTCCCAGGGAGAAAGAGAAAGCAAAGAGAAATGTAAACAAATGTAAATAAATATCTGAGTTCACAATAGGTATTATTTATTGAGACCTTCTTAAAAATAATTAATATAATTTGGGTCCTGCCCACGGGGAGTGGCTGCAGGAAGACAGGGGCAGGAGGCCACAGGGGCAGAACTGTGTGGAGTGAGAGGCAGGGGAGAGGCACAGTGGGGTGACAGCAGGGCCTTAAGCCAGAGATGGAGAGAAGCAGCTTGTAGTTCAGTCCCTTTGGCTGGGAGGTGGTGACAGATTCCACAACTCGGTCACCAGCAGCAGTGCTGACCCCCATTCAGCCCCTGCAGTGTGACGGAGGAGGACAGCTGGGTCCCCAAGCATCACACTCCATCCAGGTGCTCCTTAGCTCCTTGGTCTCTGATGACCCAGGTGTGGAGCCTTCTGCAGCCTTGGAGCTGCCTGCAATGGTCCTGTGCTTCACAGAGAGGAGGAAAGGATGGTCTGGACATGGTGTGTAAGTCATGGGCCACTAGACAGCTTCTCTCAGGTGCTGGGGTGGCTGAGCCCTTTCTCCTCTGCCTGAGGGGTCATGTGCTTCCCTCTCTTTCTTGTAGACATCCTGGGGTTCAGCCCTGGCCCAGCCCTTTACCACCCATGTTTCTTTGGGCAAGATACAAAAGCTCTCTGGGTCTCAAGTCCCTCACTGTCAGCCAGCTACCCTGGCTGAGGGAGATGGGGGACCTTGGCGGGGCCATAGCGCAGGGTGGCAGCACCTGTGGTGGCTGAGATGGGGGTGTCGGTGGTGAACTTCAGGCCACCACACCCTCTGGCAGCCTTCTAGGGGTGGTGCTGATGTTTCTATGGTTCTGGTCCCTCTGTTCCTGGAAGTGAGCCCCTGAGCCCACCTTGCATGCCCCTTCTCATTCAGATGTTCTTCTGTTCTATGACCCCAATCCATCCCTGTGTCTCCCCAGGTTTGCCAGGCACCTTCCTGAGGGTTCCCCCAGTTGATTTTACCTTGTACCTTTAGAGTTTCATTAGGGGAGAGATTGGGATGTGTTTGTTCCATTGTTAGGGTGGGATCATGAGTGTAAAGAGGAAAAACACATGAGCCGAGTGTGGTGGTGCACGCCTGTCGCCCCAGCACTCAGGAGGCTGAGGCAGGAGGATCATTGTGAGTTTGAGCCCAGCCTGGGCTACAGAGTAAGACTTGTGCTCAAGAACAAAACCAAAAACAAAAAGAATGAAAAATAAAGAGAATGAGGTGCACTTCAAGGTGATCTCTAAAATAGGGGTGCTCTGGAGGGCTTGCTTTCCCGCATCTCATTCTTGCTTGGAGCCTCCTTTCATCCTCTGTGCCTCTTTTTTTTTTAATGTTTTTACATTTATTTATGTGCATGTGTGTGTGGCCAGCTCAGCCCACCAGGGGGCGGGGCTGGCTGGCATGTGGTGCTGGGGGATCGAACCGCGGTCCCTGTGCTTTGCCAAACTTGTTCCAAGTAGGCGCTTTAGACCACTGAGCCATCTTGCCAGCCCCTGTGCCTGTGTCTTGAGTTGCCTGGAGACCCGGCGGATGTCTCAGGAAAACTTTGGTTCGAAGAATTGTGTTACAACAAACCATCTCAGGCTGACAAGTAAGTTTGTCAGTGGGAGGCAAACAGAAGCTAGAAACACGTAGCATGTGAGAGTTGGATTCTTGTTTCGTAGTGAGCTTTGCTCTGAACAGTACAGTTCTCTTAGTTCTCGAGTTTTTATTTATTGATTGATTGATTTGGTACATGGTCTTGCTCTGCAGCTCGGACTTACGGTGATCCTCCTGTCTCAGCCTCCCTGGTGCTGGGATTACAGGTGTGTACCATCAAGCCCAATTTCAGTGGCTGACTGCAGGTTGGCACAGCATGCAGTACCCATGATGGAACTTGGGTCCTTGCACTTGCCAGGCAGGCGCTTAAATCCCTGAGCTATCTCCCCAGCCTGCAAGTGTTAAACCTTTCTCAAAATGCTGAAAAATTCCAGTTGTGCGTTTATTCAAAACCATAGGACCTGGTAAAAAAAAAGAAACTTGTATAATTCCCACAGAAGCATGTCAGAGGCACTTCAGAAATGGAGAATTGTCAGCTGGGTGGGCTTTTCTGGGGAGCTTAGGGGGAGACAGTGCATTTGGGCATGAGAGCACAGGACAGTCTCCAACAGAGTGGCATGCATGCAAACGTCGAGAATCAGAAACAGGCTCATAATTAATGTACATGTTTATTTTTTTATTTTTTTTTATACAAGGGAAAAGTTTATTTAGCTCAGTTTATATACAGGTTCCAGTCCTTAATTGGTTGGCTGCAAAAGGCAGGTTGGCACATGGAAGAGGGCAACAGTTCATGGTGGTGGAAGACAGCACAAGTAGTAACAGAGGGAGCTTTTCATGGTAGCCCAAAGGTAGCAAAGCAACAAGCTTTTCTGTCCCTTATATTGTATATAGTCTACATGCCACAGGGTGGGAACAGCACTCACCCTCTTAGTTTTAGCTGCAAGTATGCCAAAGCAATCAGTGGGCTGATTTACCAATCACACACCCTTAATCCCATTATCACACATTCCAGATTCGGCCACCTATGAAAAAGTCCATACTGCATAAGGAATGGGGGACATCTGACACGAATCATAATAGGCAAGATACTGTTATTTTTTTCCACTGACTTCTCTCTTCAGAAGAGCTTTTTCTTGTTTCAAGAGCACTTTATGTTCACTCATTACCATTGAAAAGTCACTTGAAACTGTCCTACCAATTTGATTTGAAACTGTCTCATTGCTATTTGTTTATCAATAAAATTATGGAAAAAAATTAAAAAAAAAGAAAAGTCACAACATTTATCTCATTGTGTTTAACTTTTTAGGGGAAAGGATAGAGAAGGGGCAAAAATAGTGTCATTGCAGTCCCCAAAGTATATATGAAGCTTCGAGTAATATAAGGATGGGATGTGATGGCTGGAAAAGCAGAAGATTCTTTTACTTTCTCTTATTTTTATAATGAAAATATTAATCTGGGTAAGCATCTAGCCTATGGTATGTAGTAAATGCCAGTTACCTTTTCTAGTTGTTCTCTACAGGCTAAGCTTATCCTAGCCCTCATCATCCTTCTCCTTTCAGGCAACAAAGCTCATCTAGAAAACTAGGGAACTGAAAAGACAATGTACATGTTTATTGATACAGAATATAGCGCTCTATTTAGCACAGTGCACTTGACATAACATGTAGACATAAATCAGAAGTACCATGATCTGGGTTTAGTTCTGGGAGACTTGGGTAACTCATAATTTCTTTCTTTTTATGTATTTGGTACAGGGTCTCACTATGCAGCTCAGACTCGTAGTGATTCTCCTGTTTTCAGCCTTCCCAGTGCAGGATTTACAGGTGTGCAGCACCACGCCAGGTCTGGGTGGCTGGTTCAGTGTGCCCAGGGGCAGGGCCAGTATGGCATGTAGTACCAGGGATTGAACCCAGGCCCCTGTGCTTGCCTAAGCAGGTGGTCAGTCCATTGAGGTATCTCACCAGCCCTAACTCATAATTTCTGTGAGCCTCGGGTCTCTCACTCGTGCTGCAGGGTCATGGAGTTGTGTAATGAGTCTGTTGTGTAGATGGGCCTATTGAGCACCAGTGGAATAAGCTATTACTGTGCACACTGGTCAGACAAGCCAGCCAGAGATCATGCATGACAAGGTTTTATCCCCAGGTAAGGACAAGGCAAACTTGGAGGACTGGTCTTAGGCATGTGTTTGGTTTGCTACAGGGCTCTTCTCTAGACCTGTCTTCTCCAAATGGATCTCACAACCGGTGCAGCTAACGTGACCGAGTTCATCATCACCGGGCTCTTCCAGGGCGCACAGGTGCAGAGAGCGTGCTTTGTGCTCTTCCTTCCCGTGTACCTCACCACACTGGTGGGCAATGGCCTCATCGTCCTGACGGTCAGTGTCAGTGACCACCTGCGTTCCCCCATGTACTTCTTCCTGGGCTACCTGTCCCTGGTGGAGATCTGCTACTCCTCCACTGTGATCCCCAAGTTCATTGCGGATCTACTCGCCAAGATGAAAACCATCTCCTTCAAGGGCTGCCTGGCTCAGATCTTCTTCTTCCACTTCTTTGCTGTTGCTGAGATCCTTCTGCTAGTGGTGATGGCCTATGACCGCTATGTGGCCATCTGCAGGCCACTTCACTATATGACCATTATGAGTCACCAGCTGTGTCACATGCTACTGGCTGGTTCCTGGCTTGGAGGCTTTTTTCATTCCATAATTCAGATTCTCATCACCATCCCTTTGCCCTTTTGTGGTCCCAATGTGATTGACCACTACTTCTGTGACCTCCATCCCTTATTCAAACTGGCCTGTGCTGATACCTATGTGGAGGGGGTTGTCGTGCTGGTCAATAGTGGCATAATCTCTATCTTCTCCCTTACAATCCTGGTGTGCTCCTATGTCGTCATCCTGGTCAGCTTGAGGAACCATTCCACAGAGGGCAGGCGCAAAGCCCTGTCCACTTGCGCCTCTCACATAACCGCAGTCATCTTGTTTTTTGTACCTGCCAGCATCATCTACATGCGCCCCTCCTCCACCTTCACTGGAGACAAGCTGGTGGCTGTGTTCTACACGGTCATCACCCCCATGCTAAACCCCATCATCTACACACTTAGAAATGAGGAGGTGAAAATCGCCCTGAGTAAGTTGTGGAGTAGAAAGGAGGGCTCCAAATGAAAGGGGTTTAAGGCACAGTAAAGGGAGTAAAAACACATGACTAATCATAGAGTGTGTCTGAGTGGGAGGTCAGGGTGATATTTAAGAATGGCAGCAGCAATACCAGCACGTGATGGTACTACTGCCATGATTCTCCTCAGTGATGGAAGACTCCCTAGAATCCTGGTGTTCCAAGGGCAAAGGTCAGGAATTCTGACTGAATTTAAGGGACTCGAGTAGAATCAGAGACTCAGGATACTCCACAATAGTAGGGTTTGTGTGATTGGAAGGCCAAAGCCAAGAGAAAATGTGAAGGGGGGCATTTGCACAACACAAGTTTGTCAAAAGCACTCTCTTGCTTTCCCCATAATAATTTTATATATTTGTGGGTTCAAGGTTGAGGCAGGAAATTATAACATGGCCACCCATCTGGGCATTGGGTGTGTCCTGTTAAGTGGGTAGATCCAGGGTTCACATCCCAAGCCTTGACCTGGGACCAATCAGGGTGCACTATCTTCAGTTCTCATCAGAATTCAAGCAGATTTTTTTTTTTTTGTTTTTGTTTTTTGGCAGAACCGGGGATTGAACTCAGGCCTTTGTGCTTGCTAGGGAAGTGCTTATTCTACTGAGCCATCTCTGTGGCCCTCAAGCAGATTTTTGATAGGATGGTTTAGATTTGATGTCAGCCTGAGGGGTGGGAGGAACAAAAGATGGCTGCCAGCAAACTTCTGGCCCTAGTAAGCTTCGTCCTTAGCCAGCTCTCACTCTGTAGAGAGTGGTTCTTTTCCACATTAAAAGGTCCACATTCATTGTGCAGAGCGCATTTCTTTTTCTACCATTACCTCTGGCACATCTATCACCTCAAACATTTACCATTTCTTTGTTGGTACCACTCAAGATACTCCTTGCCAGCTGTCATAGTTTGGGGTTTTTGCAAGGTGAACAATGTAGTACAGGACACATTTTATAATAGTATTTTATAAAGAATCACCCAAGAATCACATACTACAAGTGCAGGAAATCTAGCCACACACTAAATACTGAAGAATCCAGCTGAGGACCTAGAGCTCAGAACAGCACCATCTACCAGTCCAACTGGAGGCCTAGAGCCCTCAACAAAGTCTCATGCAGGCCCACAACAAAGTCTCTTCATGGATATGTACTGGAAAGGCACCAAGGTCACTGTTGGAAGCTAGGAAGTCTATGACAGTGGGACGAAGGATCTGTGCTAGCAGGCTGAGGGATCAGAACTGGAGCCAGGAAGCAATGCTCAAGGGAAGCACCAGAGCTCCTACCACAGCCATCCTCAGCAACAGTGAAGTCCCGAGCTCCTCCAGCGATGAAGAAGGCTGAGTTCCCATTGGGAAAGCCAATGCGACAAGCTTCATGAGGCTGAGCAGTGCACAATCTTCCCCTCCGGAGCCAGGAATTGATGCTCAAAATGATGACCAAGCTTCTCCAAAGTTTACCAGGAAATCCAGCATGACAAGGTCCTCCAGCAGAACAGCCCCAGAGAACTAGCAGCTTCCAAGAGCTCCAACAGCTTCTCCGAACAGCATCCCTAACAGCATTTTGGCAGCTTCTCTTGCTCTGCCTTTATGCTGCTAGCAACAGCCCTCAGGTGGGCCTCCCACGCTCAGCACCACACTAGTTTAATTCAGCTGGGTGTAATAAGTCGACTACCTGTTAGAAATGCACTACACTCGCTCTTATGAAATATTCATTAACCATTGTTACTCTTAGTTTTCTTCTGTGCAATGGAACATCATGTGCTAGTTGTCTATCTACCTGAACCCCTGGACAGAGGAAATATTGACAAATATTTGCTGCGTTAAAATCACTAACTTCTCTGTTCTCTCCTTTTTGTCCCCATTGTTATTTCCTCCATCTCCCCATCTTTCCTGTTTCCTCTTTTTGTTCAGCATCCCTTCTGATAACACCTTGTATTTCATAAAAATGTCAGCCAATAAGAATTATTGGGATATATGAGGACAGTTTATGTATTAATCTAATTTTCACTTCCTATGCAAATAAGTGTATCTGAACTTTTCTCTTCTTCTCATAGGCATCTTGGCATCATTTACCATAGACCACTTGGTTGAGGTCATCAGAAAAGTCCCTGTAGCCTCAGTTCTTATGACATGTTAGCACAAAAGAAGATCTTCATACCCTCTTGCAATGCCCCACAAAGATAAAAGGATTAATACCAAAACGGCATAGATTTTTGCCTACTAATAGGGAGAGATGACATCATATTCATCCAGGCCACTAGACTAATTTTAGCCTTCTCCAGATGCAAAATATAATATTATTAGAAAATACTTATTGCTCAAAAAGGAAAATGAAGGTGTGGACGTTCCATCCATGTGTATTTTTGCACCAGAGTTGCATCCAGTGTTGCCAGCGACCAGGCCAAGATGCCTTTCCCAATGCCTGTGAGTCCTTCTTAGAGAGAGGAGAGACTGCTTTTGTGTGTGTGTTCTGTTCCTCAGAGTTTCTACCTCACCCCACTGTCCCACATCACTGTGAACAATTGTGAGGCCCTGTTGGCTGTGGAATTACTAAGTGGCATTGAGTTTACACTGCATCCGTCCACCTATTTCCAGGTTCAGGTGGAAGAATGCCTGTGACATTCCTACTTGAGGGAGGGAACATCCCATTCGTACTGAAGACCTGGGCGATTTCCCCCTGTTCCTTGAACATGTGAATGAGTAGGGTGCTAGGAAACTTCCTTGTCATCCTCGTGGTCCCCTTTATCATGTCTGTGGGTGGCCTCATCAGAATCCAACAACAGTGTCTCCTCTTCTGCCTGGAATGACTTTTCCTCCCTCTTCCATTTGGTGAAATCCTGTACATCTTTAAGACATAGGTTAAGGTCATGTCCCTTGTAGAGTGTGCCTAAGGAGAGTCACATGGAGAGAAAACACTCTCTCAGGCTTTCACAGAGAGCACATTGGCCAAACAATGGCCGTGACTCATCCACATGGCTGACACTGACAAAGGTTCTACAATCTGAGGTACAGGATCTCAGGATAAATCCTGAGGGGATTTCACT